CAATGATGCTCCTGATTCTGGCTCCTGGTCGCTTGCTCCCTTGCCGTTGTGGGTTTCCAACTGTTGGACTGAAGCGCCGCTCGTTCCGTCGCTTGGTGATCTCCACCGTTGCTGTTGCTGGCTCCTGGCTGCTGGACCGAAGCATAGCTCCCACTGGAGACTTCTCCTTGCTGAAACGATACGCTAATGATGCCTTGTCGGCTGGTAGTGCTTCATGTCTAAACAGTAAGAAGAGCATGGTGATGTGATCATAGTTTGGTTGCTGTCGACATCCGATTTACCTGCCGCTGATGGTGCTGCTCTGCATAGTAATGCATTGTAATTTTCTTGTGATTGTAGAAAGCAGTGTCGATGATACTCATGCTGTTGGCATTTGGATGGATTGGCGATCCTGGCGGCTGGCCCGGTGAAATTTGTCAATGAAACGGGATCACCGATAAAGTGGGCTACTTGCAACAACCTCTTTGATGCTTATGACTCCGGTGTTTGTTGGCGTTCGTTTCTGCAGTGGGGCGGGACACACACACACACAGGCACACCCCTTGTCTTGCAACAGTCGCGACCCAATGATGCTCATGATTCTGGCTGCTATTGGCATGGTGATGCTGATTTTGTCATCTGGGCGGCGGCCGGCTTGTTTAAGAATGCTCATGATCGTGGGGGAACGCTTCGACAGTGCATGGAAGATGCCCCTATGACGCGAAGCGGCGTGATTGTATTTCGGCCTTCGTTTGTGTGTGGTTTGCCTGGGTGGTAGACACGAGACGTCTGGCATGCGTATGTGCCTTGACAACATCGACAGCCTCCTGACCCTAAACCCTAAAAACACAAGGCCTGCGCCCCTCAACCGCAAAACCCTAAACTCCTAGAAACAGCTGAACCTTAAAGATCTAAACCCTAAAATCCGAAAGCCCTAAATCCCTAAAACCCTGAAGCCCTGCTAAACCCTCAACAGCTCGAAGCCGGCTCGTTTCCCTGCTGAGCCTTGTCAGAGCCAGCTCGTGGAGGTCGCAGTCCTGTCAAGTCCGGGTGCTGATCAGCGCAGCTGATGGATTTCATGGATTTCGCTCTTTCCTGTGCGGGCATGTTTGGGGGTTGTGATGGCTGTCGCCTTAATTTGGTAGTAAAGTTGGAGAGGTCGGAGTTTAAAGTTTGAATCCCAGACAGTTTGAATCGTTGAAATGTTGAAGGTTTGAAGGTATGAAGGCATTCAAGTGTTGGAGGGTCGAAGGTTTGAAACTTTCAACCTTCGAGAGTTTGGTAGCTTGACAGACACGGAGTTCGAGAGTTCGTTTCTCGAGTGTTCAATGAAAGCTTGAATTCGAAAGCGTCTGGATTTTCTCATGTTTGAGCGTATGTCTTGAGTCTAGGGCCTAGCGTTTGAAGCTTCGGGTTGAAAACTTTGCTTGAAATGAAACGACAGATACCTTCACTAGCGTCCTAGCAGTGTTCGTCAAGTATCTCGATATCCTGAAGTATTAGTCTAGGCTTTAAGGGTTTAGGGCCCGGTTTTAGGGTTTAGGAGGACCCCGAAATCTGCTTCCCTAGAACCTGGCGATCCCGGTTGATTTCTCACACGCGCCCCAACGGCGTCCTTGAGCGATCCCGATTCATGACATTTCTTAAGCCTGCCCCCTCATTTGCGATCCCGACTGAACACTTTTCTTGCACCCGCCTTAGGCATTCTGCTGACGTCCCCTCCTTTGGCGAACTCGGTTGATCAGATATCTTGAACCCGCCCCTTCCTCTGGAGATCATGGTTCATCATGTTTCTTAACACCACCCCCTCATTTCGCGAACCCGGTTGATCACATATCTCAATCCCACCCTCTTTCATTTAGCAATCCCGCTTGATCACGTTCCTTAAACGCGACCCCTCGATTGGCCATCCCTGTTGCTCAAATTTCTTACATGCGTCCCCTGACTTGTCAGAGTTCTAAGCCTGCCTCATCATTTGGGGATCCCGATTCATCACATTTCGTCACACCGCCCGCTGATTGGTTGATTCCGGTCCATCACATTTCTAAATGCGGCCCCTCATTTGTTGGCGATGATCAAAAAGCAGCCTGTACCCTTAACAGAACGTTACCAATGCAGCCCTTGTTCTAATTTCTGAGAGGCGGGGGTTGAAGACATATCATCAACCGGGATCGCAAAATGAGGGCGCATGTTTAAGAAATGTGTCCGCCAGGATTGCTAAAGGAAAGGGGTTGGGGTTAAGCTACAATATGCAATCAACCGGGTTCGCCAGAGGGGGCGGGCTTGATTGGTGATGAACCGGAATCGCCAAAGGAGGGTGGATCAACCAGCATCGACAAAAGAGGGGGCGGTTTTAAGAAACGTGACGAAAAACGAGGAGGCGGATTCAAGAAATGTGATCAACCGGGCTCGCCGAATGACGGGGCGCATTTAAGAAATATGATGGACAAGGATCACCCAATCAGGGGTCAGTTTTCGGAACAACCACACAAAGACGCCACACTTCTAAAACGTCCACACAAACCGTTGCGGGAGTAGTGCATAGGTCTATCGCATGTCGGGCGCTTCCATCCTTGAAACTTTTCAAACTTTCAAGCTTTCGAACTTTCGAACTCTGAAGCTTTCGAAAGACGGCGGACCTTCGAACTTCGATCGATGCGCTTTGAAACTTCCAAGCCCTCGAACTCTGAAACTCGCCAACTTTCATGAAGTCCAAACTTTCAATTCCTCAAACTTTCGAACTCCAAGACTTGCACAGTTTGATACTTTCGAACTGTCACAATCTCGACCTCAGTGGCCAGCCGTAGACCGAACCTGAAACCAACCTTGCAAACTCCAAATTTTCGGAACATTGAAACTTTCGAACTTGCAAACTTTGAACCGGTCGAACTTTCAACCTAGAAACTTTCGAAACCGTCAAGTCTTCAATCTTTTCAATACTTTGAGGGCCGATAGAACTCTACCCGGGGCGAAAGTTTGAAGGTTGAGTTTGAAGCTTGAAAAGTTCGAGCTTTGACGCCCGCGCCCTTGCACAGACCACGGCACCCAAACTTTCGAACTCCAGAGCCCTTGAAGTCCTCGAACCTTCAAAGATTGAAACTTTCAATCTTCAAAGTTTGAAGCTTTCAAACTCTCACTCTTCGAGTTCGAACGCCCTCGCTTGGGACACCACTCCAATTCCTGTGTGCTGCATCTGGAACCTACAAGTAAGACTGGCCAGCAAGGCTAGAGAAAGAAGCAGCGCGACGGCAGCAGTCGGAACTTCGAGGCCTGCCGGGACTCGGGGCCGAGGTTTCGAGATCAAAACTCCGTCAGCTGCCAGCACAGATGGAGAGAGCCTTGCCTGGGGGCAGCTGTTGGAAGAGGGTGGAGACCTGCACAAACTGGGGCTGACCGGCTCAAGCCGTTACCCATCTTTCGCAACATTTTCTGACCTGCAGCTCTTGGCGCTGTCAACTCAGCATTCGTGGGGACTTCGATGCATCCCTGCTCCCCAAACCTTCCTGCTCTACCAGAATCGAATCCCCCTTGCAGGGCCGGTGTCATGCCCAGCCCTTGTGCTTGGCGGAGATGTTGGGACCCAGAGTAGCGCCTTCATCCCCGGCACCCCACCGGATGGGCTGAGGACCGCCGCGAGCAGAGAGGCGAAGAGGTGGCCCTCAAAACATCGGTGCATGGCCTGCACCCCTAAAGGTTTCTTTAACTGAGACAGATCCATCTACATAGTCCGCCGTTCATCTAGCTGTCGACCCATGTACTCATATTATGAATCTATGTATGATAGCTGCGAAAGAAGCGATCGCGGTAACCACCTCCATACTGTAAGGCTGCACTTTTAGACATCACAAAAGAAGCAGTTGACCTCCAAGTCAAGCACTGAAGAGCTCACCGCTGCAACGTTGCACATCGAGTATGTTTCATCGTGGCCAGTAAACCACAAGCTTGTTCGATACGAGATCAAAACCGAGTCCCTTGCATCCTGGACCGCTGCTGCGCACAGCTCCTGCAGCAACCTGGCACGGGGTGCAACATCCGTTTGCCATGATTTTCAAATCCCGAGCGCAAACCTGCAAGGTCACAGAGTCTCTCAGAAAGAAAACTAATCCCAAGAGCCCAGGGCTGCCACTCTTGCTCTTTTTCTTCCGGGAGCTTGGCCTCGACCAGAGTTGCTGTCTGCCGGTGCTTGACATTGCTCTATGTCTATGTATATATCTACATGACGGACTTGCCTACATACATGGATGAATAAGCACGGATATGCTCATGTATCTCAGTTGCACTCCTACGAACCTGCACATCTAGATACACACATTCAAACATACAGACATGTCTGCATTCAGACGCCAGGCTACCTACCTACATACCTAGATGCGTACACGCGTCCATACATCCAAACACCCATGCATGAATGGATCCATACTTCCACACATCCACACATGTATACATGCGTACATGCGCACACATACTTACATACATTGCACACATTACATACATTACACACATTACACACATTACACACACTACACACATTACATACATCTACATATATTACATACGTGCACATACACATAAATAAATGAATGCAGACCTGCATTCATAAGTGCTTACATGCATGCACAAAAACATGCATACGTACATGCAGACATATATACATATACGTACATAGCAACCTACGTACATACATACATACATACATACATACATACGTACATACATACATACATACGTACATACACATATATGCACATACATACAAATACATACAATTACATACGTTACGTACATACAGACGTACAAACGTACATACTTGTCTGTCTATCTGCCTATCGGTGTATCTATCTGTCCGTCTGTCTGGCTGACTATCTGTCTTATCTATCTCTCCGCGTATCTACGTATCTGTCTACCTGTCTATCTGTCCGCATATCTGCATATCTATTTGTATTTATATATATATATATATACACCTTCCTATCTGTCTACTACCCATCTATATGTCAGACTATCTGTCTATCTATCTATTTCTCTCTCTCTCTCTCTATCCATCTATCTGTCTATCTGCATGGCGTGGACTTCACTCCAAAGACATCTCCTCTGAGTTGGGAAGAGACCCAAGTTCTGGAAGTCGCAAGGCTTCAGCAGAGTCGCACGGAGTGCTCGGACATCGAGAATCCGCTACTCATGCTTCCAGAAACAAGAAGCCATCCCGGTGGGGAGCTCCCTAAAGCCCACACAGAGCATGCTAACAAGACGGTGATCAGACTCAATGCTCGCTGTTGCTGCAGTCTTGTTGAAGCCTCCCCTGCCGTTCGACGCACACTGGGAGCGTGCGCTCGTGTTAAAGCGCGCAGGGACAGAGCGAGACAGCCACGCATGGATAGGGAGAGAAGCTGAGACAGGGAAAGGTGCGAGGCCTGTGCAGGGCAAAGACAGACAGATGGGCTAGAATTGGCTAGGGCAGAGATTGAACTGACAAGAAGACACCACGCGAGAAACAGGAAATAAAGACAGATGGAAGGAAAGACATCTGATTGAACATCAACAGCAGTCAAGGGTGATTTCCTTTGGACCTAATCGGCCTCAAAGTTAGCTCCCTGACCGATGGCCACTGCTTTCAAAGCCAAAACAGAAGCTCAAAGACTCCGTCCGTTGGTGCTGCATAGAAAACACAATACAGCCGCCGATGTGCCTCAGTCAGCACGTCTAGGGCTCCATGAACGCTCCCGAGCTCAAAGAGCTGCAAGTGGAAAGCCTCTGAAAGACGTCCGCGCGAAAGGACAAGTCAAGGGCAGACTTCCGCAGCACGCCTGCTCCGGATGGCCGAGCCTCAGGGCTTGAAATTTCACTGCCCTCAGCCTCAGACACTCGCACTCTCTGGGTGCCGGCACGCGAGCAGCGCAGAGGCCGCCTCCCTGGAGCCGGACGCCCAGGCCGCCTCCGACGAGAAATCGATCGGACACTGTACGTCGCAGCTGTCGCTGAAAGCCTTCGACCCCCAGTTCATACAACTCCAGAAGGAGGCGCTGCCATGCAGGACAGCCATGGTCTTGCTTTGACTGTCAAATTCTCTCGAACCTTCACAGACGAGACGGCGATGAATCCGTGCGGTTAAACTCTAAGATAACAAGTGATGACTAGCAACCGACGGAGTGTTTTCAAGCAGTCAGTCACTTTGTTGGTGCAGGTTCTGCAGTCAGGGCTCGACAGCTTGCCACCAGAAAGATTTCTGGAGTATGGTATGCCAGGATATCCAAGTATCTCCAATCTGAAAAGTTCTTTGTGCAGAAAAGAAACCTCGAAAACACATATCACCGCGGCATACTGTTGTTAAAGGAGACAGGGAAGTGTTTTTTCAAGGTCCAAGTAGCAAGTGCCAGAGCCCTTAAAACAGCGATAGGTGACGAAGCTGCAAGCTGAGGCTGCAGAAGCAGCCCCCGAGCGAACGAGGTCAAGCGGAAAGCGATCCGTCACTTCTCCAAACGAATAGCAGGCACGCGGTTTGAGACACTACTGCGGCTTGGCGGCAGAGTTCTGGAGACTCACGCTGACCTAGTGAGCACTGCGCCTCCAACCACATGCCATGGACCGAAGAAGTAGAAGAGGTCTCCTTCGAGAATTTTGCAGACCCGTGCTAACCCATGCTTCTGCTGGGGAGAATTGTCCTGCGCCACATTCCTGTCCAAGACATGCTGCCACGGTACAGGCAATGCGGTGTCCTCTTTCTCTTCGGAGGCAGACTGCACGAACACTGGCCTATCAAGCAGTGCAAACAGGTGCCAGGATGCTTGGGACTTGATCCTAGCTCTGAAAAGACAGAATGGACTCACCACCGCAGAGCAATGCCTTTTCGCTGTTTTGGGCTTAGGGCTCTAGCCTCTTCTGGCATCTTGGCTCTTTGGCGCTGCGCTCAGGGGCGCAGCCCTGGCTTCCCACCAGGCCGGCAGCCGGTCGTCTGCCAGGGCCGCCGCGATGTTCGGCGGTTGGTGCGGCAACTCGAAATCATGCAAGGCTGCACCAGATGTATAGGTCGAGGGGTCATGCGAAAGGTGGCCCAAGGATGACAGGGCGGAGACAGACGACAGAGCTCGATCCGTCTCGAAACTGAGGAACGTCGAGGAGCTATAAACCGAGCTAGATATCGCAGAGTGCCGAAGAAGCTGCAGCGAGTCGGCCAGCCGGTCTCTTACAAACTCAACACCGTCGCTGAAGTCAGCGGCATAGTGCTGTTGCATCTTGAGCAAACAGAGCACCACACGGGGTGCAAACTCAGGAAACTTTGTCCCAAGCTTCGTCAACGAGGCAATGATGACAGCAACGAAGCGTGGCGAGAAAATTGCCTCGCCTGCAAACTCCACCTTGACGGCCTCGGGTGCTGCAGGGACACCCTCGTCGGTACCCTCGTCGTCCGGGCCCTGTTGGCCTTTCTCAGGCTCCCGGCTTTCCACCTTGGGCTCCTTCTTTTCCTCCTCGGGCTCTGAAGCTGGCGTGATGGAGATGGCTTGGTAGGCAAGGGTCTCCAAGGCCTCGAAAAACATTGCCACACCCGCTCGTCCCCCGTTCTCGTACAATGGTGGCCGCAGCAACTCTCCAATGATCCAGCAGAGATGGAGCACCAACAGCCGCCCTTGCACATCCAAGTGGGTGGAGATGGCATGAACCACCTCGCGCTTCAGGGACATGAGGAAAGCCGGCCATTGCTGGAAAATGGCCTGCAGCGTGTCTATGATGAGAGTGTGCACAGAATTCAGGAAGAAGTCCACCGGATAGAGCGATGCAAAGCGCTGCAGTAAGAGCGGCACCACCCTTTCTATGCACTCCGGCGGGGCATTGTTGAGCAACACGTCGAAATAGACTCTCAAAAACCGGGGCACCAGCTTACAGACGCTTGACACGCGAGGTGTCACGGGCAAGGAGTTCCACAAGACCCTTATCATGCTCAGCTGCGCCTCATCACGAGCTTCCCAGATGCACACACCACCGGCTTGATTCCGCATGATGTACTGGTGTACGGTCTTGAAGGGTGGCGACATCCTGTCAAGACCCAAACGCATCATCTGTGCGTCAGCGTGGGGCTCGTCCGGCCTCTCGTACTGCTCCATGAAAGCTGCCGTCAGTGGAAGGTCCAGCAGAGTATGGAAAAGCTCTGCGAAGGAGCTGGGGCCCACCATTGCTGGAACGATGGGCAAGACCTCCTCTGCCAGTGTCCGAGGATGCCAGACCAGCAGCTTGATGATAGCCGGGTAATATTTCGGGAACACGGGGGTATGTAACAACATCTTGGAGGTGTTCGTCGTCAGGAAGAGGAGGGTGCTCATTGCCAACAGCTGCTGCCTGTAGCGCACGGACACGTAGTCCTCGAAGAAGTGGTGCAGCACAGGGTCCACATCAAAGATTACATGCTGTCCATGATTCACAAAGAACTGCAAGACGGCAGCAAACACAACTCCACTTTGCCTGTTGGCGGTCCGCTCGTACACTTTCTTGACAGCCGGGAAGATTCGGGTTACGAGCGATGGATCCATTAAGCACAACAGATCGAGTATGCGCACAGCTTCCATGGAGACACCCTCAATAAACTCCTTCATCCAATCCAGCTCTGAAATGACATATCGAGCACCTAGCCGCATCTGCTGTGGGCCGTCGCGGACAATATCCAGCTCAACCTGCGACAGAATTCGCAGGCAGATGCTTATGACCACCTCCCGAAACTCTTCGTCCAAGGTGAAATGCCCGATCAAGGAGCTTTTGTTTGTGGACTCCCTAGGCCTCGGCTCTGTGGGTATCCTGGCATCGTGCACCAGGCCATAATGCTCCAACTTCGAAACGATGTCATCTCTGCTTTGCCGCTTCCTAATTTCTAGGAGCTGTGCCTGGTAAAGGTAGAACAACCAACAATACAAAGAGCTGAAGACGCTGACATTCAGGAGCTGATCCTCTGAGTAGTCGTAGGAATTATTCATGCAAGTGAAGAAATCACGCGTGGGCGTGCCATCAACTTCGGTCACGTTGCAAGACGCAGACGACGAAACTATCCTCATCCCGAATAAGGTGGTGGACGTGGTCTTCCGCGTCTCCAATGATGCACCTGTCAGCAGCTTGCAGAACTGTGCCTCCATGGGCCGGATATGCTGATCCTGATCCAACACGTTTGGAAATCGCTGCACAGCTGCCAGAAGGTTTGTCAATGCTGCAGTCTTGAGACCGATGCTGGCAGACTCGCTGGTAAACCACGTAACCAGATTTGGAATGTTCTTTACCAGAAGGTCTGCATTGAGCAGCTGCGACAGCACAGGCAGAAAGTACACCACTTTGTTGTGATCATAGTGATCGAAGTTGCCCCCAAAATTGTCGCGGAAGAAGTATGGCACCTCACCGGAGGAAAGCTCGCGGACAAGTGCGGAGCTTAGGATTCGAATCCTGGGCGGAGCAAATCCGCTGTCTCCGACCAGGAGGGCAAAGAGCTCCTGAAGCACTCTGTGCGTTACCTCGCTTAGCTTCCTCATATGAGCGTTGCCAGCCCCGCCCCCTATTCCCGGTGTTGGCTGATGTAAGGAGGCCGTGACGTAGTGAAAGGCCTTGCGCATGAGCTGGTGCTGCTCTGACTTGCTGTCGCGCGTCTGAGACTTGAGCTCCTGGTGTAGTCGACCCAGGATGGTAGCAACATCGCTTTGCCCGATCCGCTCCATCAGCCAAAAGCAACATGCCGACGCGTTCGGCAATATGAAGTCTCTCAACAAGGGTTTATCTATGGTATCTGGCAGTGTGCAGCCTCATGCGAATGTACAACCTGTACGACGGTAAGACAGTAAGCACAGAGCATGCAAGGGAGAAGTTTGTGGGAGGTTGCATATACCTTCACGATCTCGTAAGCAGCACCTCGGTTCGAAGACCTACAAGATGACTTCGTAACTGAAAAACTGCACAGACGCTTCAGGGTTTCATGCCGCTCAACAGGTCTGATTTCAATCATGCACATGTCTGAAGGAATCCTTGAAGAATTAGAGGCAGCGGATTTCACGAGACGAAACGAGATCGGGCATAGCTCAGAAAAGAGCATGAGGCATGGCCGCACGATACATCTCTTGCCTCAGATGATGCGGCCGCAGTTCTGCCTGCTCGCATGTGGGGCGCAAGGAAATGCCAGTGCTGCCGCTCATTGAAGCCATCGGAGGAGTCCGTGCATGGTCGAACTACAGACTCTGCAGACAAGCTGGCCGTTCGCAATAAGATCTCCGCATGAAGTCTGAACCGCTACTCTGGGGCCCGGACTGTCAGCTGCACCATTCGATCTCGGAAGTGCTTGGCCGCATCTGGAGAGCGCCAAGCGAGAAGCCTGTGATCCAAGACAGCATCATGCCGCAGCTCCTGACTGGTTCCGGCATTTCACGGCTTAGCCAATGCTTGCCAAATCTTCAAACGCTGTTGCTCATGCGGCTAGCTGTATCACAGCCTTCACGGTCAGAGTGCAGCAAAACTTCAACGACGGCCTTAAGTAGCCCAGACCCTGACCCTGAACCCTAAACCCTAAACCCCAATCCGTCGGGCCTTAGGTAACGCAGCTCCCAGGCCGCGCCGTGCGGCGCCAGAGCTGCGAGCAGCTCCGCAGGCTTCAGGCTCTCGGGATGGGCCGCCTTGGAACTTGGGCCCGGCTCGGAGGGTTTCGGAAGTTACGATTTTGGGGTTTAGGGTTTTTTTTAAAGCTC